ATGGAGAGAAAAGTGTTTGTTTACCTTTTGGTTTTTCCGTTAAGGTCTATAAAAAGGTCTACTAATTTTTAAAAAAAATCACGAATCAAGATTAAATCCTTGCACGAAATAAGATTTTTCCACGCGAATCAACATCCAAAAAAATAGCTTGGCATTTTAATAATTTTAGTTAATTTAATTAACTTTTTTCAAAGCGAAAAAAATCAGTAACAAAGTGCATTACATAAGCTTTGTTTTTATATAGGTCACACCGCTCAAAACATAATATGAGCGAAATCATAAGTGACTAAAGTTGTGAAGCGTCAGAAAAAGCTTGATTTTAAGCGAATCATAGTCCGCCACCCTAATTAAACGAATATAGACGCGAAACACTTTTATACTTTTTACTTTTTAATTTAATTTACCTTTAAATAGCTAAGTATTTTCGACAGCTATGCTGTCATCTGCAGGACGATTCGATCTACACTGAAGCAATTGTTCAGTGTTCGTCAATTGTTAAGTGCGAACTTAAAAAGGTTTGACCTTATCAAACAATTGCTTTAAAGGTAAATTAAAGTAAAAAGTATAAAAGTGTTTCGTGTCTATACTCGTTTAATTAGTTAATTTTTTAATGTTGTTATTTACTTATGAATCTAAACCTTATTAAAAGATAAATACTATTACAATTTTGAAGTTTAAATAACAAATTTTTTTAAAGATGTACGAAATTCATCAAATTTTTTTTGATTATTTTTAAAAAACTGGACATTAGATTACCTAAATTACCTGCAATTGAGCCTCTAGAGATATATCGCAATTCTCGAAAGAGTTTTTTTGTTACTTGTTTGACAATGAATTATTAAAATGACTTTTGTTCCAACAATATAAAATTTGATGCATTTTTAAAAATTTGTAACTTATTAATTTTTTTATCAGTGCAAATTTAATCTACTTAATTAGACCCTTCCAACACAGCGAAATTTTCGACCACCTTTTGACGGTGTCGATTGTAAAATCGAATCCTTTCATTCGTTCATTATCAGTTGACTGAGAAGGAAGTGAAAAATTAAAATAAACTCATTAAGAAAGAGTTTAATATTAAAAATATCTGAAATATATTTAAAAACGCCAAAGAAAAGAAGATTTGCTATTGAAAAGTCATGTCAGGACCAGCAAATTCAAGTGAGTATTAAAACATTTCGCAAAAATAATTTATTTCTTCAATTAAAATGGCGACACGCGTTTTCATTGCTTGCTTGATTTTGATTATTTTTCGTCGTAATAGCAAAGAACATAAACGAATGAAACATTCTTTGGTTTAGACAAAGAAATAAACAATTTGTTGCATTTTAGTTAGAAAGCTTTCAAAATGCTTTAACTTCTAAATATATAATATTTGAGGTTATGTCTTACATAATTATGCATGTATTTGTACCAATTTCAGATAAAAACTTAAAACGAGATGCAGAAAGAGAGCAGCAACCATGGGGTCCTGCATTACAGCAACAGCCTAAACAGGAACAAAGACCAGAGTCAGGTGGGCAATGGGAAGAAGTGAAGAAAAAGAAAGTCAAAAAATATCCATCAAAGAAGGAACGTGAAGAAGCTGAAAGAAAATGTTCACAACTCCCACCATCAGAAGGACCATCTCAGCAACAACCTCCTGTTCAAATAAAAACCGAAGAAATTGAAAAAAATTTCGAATCAATGGGCGTCTCACCAAAGAAAAAAATCAAAATGATCGAAGCAAGCCCCGATGGACGTGTGTATGAAGGAAAGAGAGGAACGCCATGCAGACTTGAAGTCAATTATTTGGAGATTCTCATAAATAATTTAAAGCCCAACGCTTTTCATTATGATGTCACTTTTACTCCTGATGTTCCTAAGAAAATGTTGCCGAAAGCTCTTGAAGCTTTCATGAAGAATAATTTCCCAAAGATTTCATATTCTTTCGATGGACGGAAAAGTTTCTACACGGTAAATGTAATGTCAAAAGATCTCGAAGAAACCTTTGAACATGACGTCATAGCAATTTTGGGAGATCGACAAAAGGATTTCAAAGTCAACGTTAAGCTTGCAACTATTATCGATATGAGTGTGTTGAAACATTATCGAAAGGCTGAATATCAAAACAATGATAAGCCAATGCAAGCTGTTCAATGCCTTGACGTAATATTGCGAACTGCTTTTAATCCTTTGATTTCTTCGAATCGAGCTATTCAAGCTGGAAGAGCTTTGTATTTTGCACAAGAACGTTCAATTCCATTAGGCGATAGTATGGAGTTGTGGTTGGGACTTTTCCAATCAGCTGTGCTTGGACGAGATGCTTTGTATTTGAATGTTGATGTCGCTCATAAAGCTTTTCCTTCTCCGATGTCGTTGTTGGATTTAGTAAGAAGCTTCGATAGAAGTGGCAATCTGCCAGCAAGATTCGATGATCGTTATGGACGACAACTTACTGAACATTTGAAAATGTTGAGTGTCAGCTATCGTCCTGACAAAAATCAACCAGCAAAGACATTTGGCTTCAATGGATTGAAGGAATCTGCCAACAATGCAACATTTGTTGATGAAAAAGGAGTGAAAATGACTGTGCAAGGATATTTTCAAAAGAAAGGAATAAGATTGCAATTTCCTGATTACCCCGTCTTATGGGTTGGCTCTCGTGCTCGCAATGTTTATCTTCCAATGGAATTATGTGAAATTCCAGCTGGCCAAGCAACAAACAAGAAATGCACACCGAAAGCTGTTGCTGCAATGATTAAATATTCAGCAACATCTACCGATGAACGGAAACGAAAAATTTTGGATCTCTTAAAGAAAATCAATTATCAAAATCCACAGGGAGAAATTTCAGGATTTGGAGTTGAAATTGGCAAAAATTTCATTCAAACTGATGGAAGAATTATTGAAGCACCGCAAATTAAATATCTGAATCAAACTGTTAGACCTGATAAAGGTGTTTGGCGTGGTGAAAAATTCCTTGAAAGCGCTAAACCTGTTAAATGGGCTGTGATTAATTGCGATGAACGAACATCAATTCAAGAAGTTGTCACTTTCAAGAAAAACATCTTAAGCGAATCGAGAAGAATGGGAATGAACTTAGCTGAATCAAGAGGTGACAGTGATTACATCAAAATAAAGATGGCATCCCGTCGTTTTGATGATGATTTGAATTCTATGGTTAAAGGACTTGAATGGTGTAAAGTAAATGGCTATGGAATTGTTTTTGTGATCATTGTTGACTTCAATGATTGCTATGCCAAAGTAAAACAAGCTGCCGAATTGAAAGTGGGAATACTTACGCAATGCCTCAAAGCTAATACGATTTTTAGAATGGGAAAAGGAAACCCAATGATGACTATAAATAATATTTTGTTGAAGGTCAATGCTAAATTGAATGGAAAAAATCATGAAGTCATTGAAAGATCATACAATTCATTTAATCAAGTCAACAATGGCGTAATGTTTATTGGAGCTGATGTTACTCATCCATCACCTGATCAGAGTGATATTCCAAGCGTTGTTGGAGTTGCTGCAAGTTATGATGACGTTGGTTTTCGATATCAATGTGCATGGCGTTTGCAACAACCAAAGGAAGAAATGATTGTTGATTTGGAGAATATTTTGGTTGAACAACTTCACTTTTATAAAAAGCAAAACAAGAAATTGCCAACCAAGATTATGTACTATCGTGATGGTGTGTCTGAGGGACAATTTACAGAGGTGAAAATCTTTCATTATCACATTATAAATATTTAATTTTTTTTTCATTTAATCAGGTCTTGGAAATTGAAATGAAAGCAATTCGAGCGGCAATGCTTAGAATTTATGGTCCGCAGCAACCACAAGCTAAGGTGACATTCATTGTCGTACAAAAACGTCATCATACTCGATTCTTCCCAACTCAAAGAAAATTCAGGTTTAAATTACAAACAATAATTTTAATGTTTTTAAATAATGAATTATTTTATTTTATTAATTATTTAGTGATGGAAGAAACAATAATATTCCAGCTGGAACAGTTGTGGACAAAAGCATTGTTCATCCATTCCAGTATCAATTTTTCCTTGCTTCTCATGCAGCCATTCAAGGTGTTACTAAACCGACAAAATATTGTATTCTTGTTAATGAGTCAAAAATACTGCCTGATGATCTTCAAGCTATTACTTATGGTGAGATTCTTTTCTTATTTGATATTTAGATTAACTCAAACTATTATCGAATGCTTTATTAGATTTGTGCCATTTGTTTACAAGATGCAATCGCTCAGTTTCATATCCTGCACCGACATACTACGCACATTTAGTTGCAGCAAGAGGCAAACAGTACACAATTGGTCGTAAATTGGACATGAGCTTGTTGAAGCAAGAATATCAGAAAAGAACTGTTCAACCGTTCATCACTGTGGAATGCCCAATGTATTTCGTTTAATTTTCAAGAAAATAAGCAAAGAATGCTACAAATCATAATGAAGTTCGTATTAAGATAATCAAAACTTTTGATTCAACAAGAGAAGAAGCAAGGAATGCTGCAAAATCTTCTATTATAATGAATTACATTTGAATTTTGTAATTTACTTATCATTTACCATAACAAAATAAATTAAATTCTGTATTAGATTAATTTACTGACCTCCAATATTGGTTAAACTAAATTTCAATATTGGTTAAACTAAATTTATTGAATAAAAATCTAGATAAAAGATATTCCAAAGAGAAGTCTTATTCTTTTATTCTAAATGTGATCTCATTCTCGAGTATTGAATTTTAAATCTTAAACCCAATTAACTACTTTTAATTCATAGAAATTCATTTTCGAGGAAATGTTTTAAGTGATTTGTAATTTCATTTTGTGCACAGCGATTACTTCTGAATGTCATGGGAGTCTTGTTGAAAATAGATACAAATGAATATTGTGCACTTATTCCAATTTCTTCTACAATTTCCTTTCTGAGATTTATTTTTTCATCTTTCGATTGGATAACTTGGATATTTGTAGTCATTTCTGTTTTGAGACACTCACTGCTGTTTGGCGAATATTTCCAAACCTGTCGCGTGGTCATAAATTAAGGTCATCAAGAAAAATCATTTTTAAAGAATTTTTAGGGTTTCTCGGTTCATTCCAAAACTATCGTCGCAGTCTATGTTATCACAGTATGATCATTTATATCTAAACTTTGATGACGTTATTCTTGGAAGTGGTTATCAATCTGTTCTTTTTCATTTCTTCTATTTCGAGAGATGAAGAAAGATTAACGACAGTTGATGAGTTATGATTATAATCTTATTTCATTTCTTATCTGAAATGATGATATGTATCTGAAAGCATACTGAAAAGTTTAACATGGATTTCTGACCACTGTAGCAAAAAACTTTTGATACATTCTGAGAAACTTTCAGAGATCAATTTCAAAAATGCATCCAATAATGTTTCCTTGACATTGATGTTGTGATGGGATCGCAAAATGGGAAAATAAGTTCAACGTAAAAGCTGCAGATTATTTTTACATTTTAGCACCAAAGCTTAAAGCAAAATCTAAAAATTTAATGACTTCAATTATTCACCATTCATACAAATAAATGTTAAGAACATTTTTCTTTACGCATTTTTGAGTGTGGAATCAAACAATATTGGAAAATTCAATTGCTTCAATTCACTCATAATTAACGTTTGAAAACTAACAAAAAAGCTAAAGAAGCTTACACTTTGGAAGTGAATGATTTATTTGATTTATGGATTTGGAATTTTTCTTGCAATTTTTTGGAGTATCTGAAAATATTTATTGCTTTATTAAATAAATTGTATTAGCAATTATCCGTCAACAAAAGAATTCTTTTAATGCTTTGGAAACTAAATAAATTTCATTTATTGAATTTTAGCAGCAGACAAAGTCATGTTTATATTTCATAAATGAATTCCCTTTACAGTGAAATGATTATTTTAATTTAATTATCTTTGTACGGTGGTAAGCCGAAATCTTCAGGCTTAAAGTCCAAAAGTGATTTATACACAACTGTGGCGTCTTGTTTTTGATTTTCTGAGACATGTGAATCAGGAACCATAACAACTTGCATGCCAGCTGATCTTGCAGCTTTGCATCCATTTGGAGCGTCTTCAAACACTAAACACTGTTGGGATAAAATAATTAGTTAACAATTGTCTTTATGAATAAATATTTGAATTATACTACATCATCTGGTTTGGGTGAATCTGGAAAACGCTTAGCAGCAACAAGGAAAATATCTGGTGCTGGTTTTCCTTCCTTAACTTCAGGATCACTTGAACCCATGACTTTGTGATGGAATAAATTGAACAATTCTTTGTGATGAGTTGTTTTAACTTCAACAGATTCCTTTGAACTTGAAGTTGCTAAACAAATGGGCACGTTGTTCTCATGAAGATGTCTCACTAAACGTTCAGCGCCTGTTAAAGATTTTAAATTAATTTTAACATTTCTCTACATAGATACATAACGAATTTATTTTTATAACAATGTTTCAGTCTTGAAGTCAATTCATCAAAAAAGAATCTACCTTTGAATAAATAAACATTTTCAAGATTCTTAAGAGTAATTTGCACAAATTGACGTTGAAAATCATCAACTGTACAAGGCAATTTTAATTCTTTAACAGCTATTTCACATGTTCGTCGTTCAATAGTTCCAAGAATTTTCATTCTTACATCCCATGGATATGGTCGGTTGTATTTCTTTGCTATATTTTCAACAGCCTTTTCATAAATTTTTTCCGTATCTTCAGATTTTTTTTATTATAATAAAATTATTCGAAATTTCAATTTGACGCGATATAATGTAAAATTTAATAAATAAAGAAAGAAAAGAAAGAAAGAAAACTTATTAGTAAAATCGTTTAAACATTCATATCATACCTGGCATCAAGCGACAATTCTTCATAAGATCTTCAATTTGTGCTTGAGCTAATTCAGCGTATTCTTCCCATGTAATTGGGAGATCAAAAATTTCCACAATTTTCTTTGAAACATCTTCTTTCTGTAGTCCCATTAGAGTGACTTTTAACTCCCATGTATATATCTTACCCGGACTATATTCGTCAAGAATGTTTTGTGTCACGAGAGTATACAATGTTTCTGTGTCTATAGGAAAGACCCGAAAAAAGAAAACAAAACCAACACAAAATGATTCACTATCCTGAGAAAGGTCAATTGCATCTCGGATGTTCGATCACGCAAAGTAAAGAGAGGAAATGAAAATCAATTAAATGTCATGACTATTACGCGTGATCTGCACAGAAACAAGGAAAAGTATTTCCACAATGAGTGTATTATTGGCTACAATGAGTTATCTTTGCCAATAAAATTATAATGCATTTCTTTTTTCTGCTTAGTTCTGGGCTTTTTGTGTTCTCAGACGTCACAGTACATATCATGTCGCTTGTAAATGAAATCAATCTTAATATCACTTAATTGGGTCAACAAGAAACCTTGAACGATGTCAGGTTCTACATAAAATACAAAGATTTTAAACTAATTGCGTGATAACTTTAAGTATTCGAGCAGAAAATGACGGAAGGATGGAAAATTTCTTCCTGACCTTGTTAATGAGAATGAAAATGTACATGTGCAACAAATGCATGTTCGTATTAAGCTTTTTCGTTCACACATTTTGTTTTTGTGATAATTTTCAAACATTACACAATGTTATTACGATGATTATTATTATTATTTTATGTTTTTCACTGAACTGGCAAATATTCTTTTTGATACTCTTATCGGACTAGGCGAAATGTTTATATTGAAAGGCGTCAAATCAAACACAAAATCAATTATAAACACAGTCTAATTACTATTAATTATTCAAACTTTTACTCTATCTGAACAGAAAGCCACTTTGAAGAATCATCACTTGATCAATGGACTATTCTATGTAATTATTTACCTAATAATAAGCCATCCATGTCGAAGATGCAGTGACTGACAGTCTTGAAACCAGCCGTCGAACTCTTGATAGTGTTAAGAATAGTCATCGTGAGAGGATTCTTTAAACTGGACTGAAGTCTATTCATTATTAAATCGGCTTTTTATATTCTCGTCGAAAAGCAAAAAAATCTTTATATTTTGAATAATAAAGAAACTCTGTCTTGCGCAGTATATTAGGGGGAGAGAATACGTGGCAATTGACCCTCGCTCAGAGATAGCTGAACGCGCGCGTCGCAGAAATAAACAAATAAAAGCACAATTGAAAATTTATGAATTTTCAACGCGGATATCAATTGTTGACATTAGAATTGTGTCATCGCGGTAAACTTGAATTTATTCGTTAATTTTTTTATCCTACCCAGTACAACAGGAAGAAAGGAAGTAAGAAAAGGAAACTTTTTGATGCAAATTAGAAACAAATAAAAAAATGTTTTGAAACATTTGAATTCTTTTAAGAAAAACCACGAATTTTAAAAATTTATCCTGTAATGCTGCTCTTTATTTTCTTATTGCAACATAATAATCATTCTATATAATTATGAATTATAGTAAAAACTGTTTTAATGCTTAAGAACAATATAAAACTATGATTGCATTATAATCATAACTTAACATAAATTATAAAACAAACCATAAAATGTAAATCTAAGCTTTTAAGAGATTGTAGCAAAAATAAGAAGAGAAATAAAACAGTTTTAAATTCTCTAATTATACTCTAAAAATTTTAATTTATCTTTTTCTTAAGTTTCTGAACAGATTTATTAACATAAATTCTTTTCTTTTTTGATCATCTTAAGGAGCCATCTATACTAACAACTAATTCTAAAATGTTACTATTAAAATTTGATGGAAAATAGATTTCGAATAGTTCTATTTTCAACAAATTTATTTAGTTCAGAAAAATAATGATGAGAATAATATTTAATGAAAGAAATCAGAAGAAAACAAAACAAAAAAATAAGAAAAATGACTGAGAATACCTAAATAGATAAAAAAACAACAAAGTTTCACCAGCTTAGAAGTAATGGGGACGATGGTCGCTCAATCAAACAATCGAATCTTTCCTTATCCTAAAAATGAGACAAGTAGCATTTATTGGACGATCATTGGAAACGAATGTGATAGTCAACTCACCACATGTAATTCTCGGTTTGTTGATGCTTCATGACGCCAACACCGCCGCCTAAACGTCTGTAATTCATACACCCACACAAACGCCATTGATTACTTTCCGGATCATAAACTTCGATTGTTTTTAAATAAGCTGTTCCATCAAATCCACCAACTGCATACAACTGACCATTGACTACAGCTAATCCAACCTGAGAATAACATATTAATAATTAGTTTATAAAAATTGTAACAATTAAACTTTGTACTAACGCCTGATCGACGTGATGTCATTGCAACGATTGGAGCCCATGAATTTGTGATTGGACTAGAAAGAAACAAATTAATTACATTTTATAATATGTAATAATGATGATTTAAGATTAAATGAAATCTCACTTGTAGCGTTCAGCTGATGAAAGTTCCATACAATCATCACGACCGCCTACGGCATAAATAAAATTGTTGAAAACTGCACAGCCAAGATGTTTTCGTCTTGTTGACATTGGAGCAACGACGGTCCATTTATTATTTCTTGGGTCAAATCGTTCTACAGTGTTGAGAGGTGTTTGACCATCAGATCCACCAATTGCATAAAGAAAACCGCCAAGTACAGCAACAGCAACTCCTAAGCGTCGTGTTGTCATTGGTGCTACTTTACTCCATTTGTTTTCTAGTTTAAAATGAAATTTGATAAATTCATTTCGTTATTTTATTTATCATTTCTCACCTTTTGGATCATATCGTTCGACATGATTCAAACATTGAACTCCATCTTGACCGCCAACCTGTTATAAATCAAATTAAAATATAAAAAATTGAAAAGTTTTAAAAAGAAATAATTCATTTTTACCGCATAGAGAAATCCATCAAGCACAGCAACACCCACTGATGTACGACAACTTGTAGTTGGAGCTTATGTGTAAAGAGAAGTAAAAATATAAAAATTAAAAATTTCAGGAGATAAAAGTGAAAGAAAACACTCACCAACGTCAGTTTGCCATAGATTCGTTTGAGGATCATATCTTTCGATTGAGTTGAGGTACGATTGTCCATCATGACCTCCTACAGCATACAACAACTCATTACATACAGCTACACCCACACCACAACGTCGTTTACTCATCGGAGCAACCATTTTCCATTCAGTTGTGTTGGGATCGAATCTTTCAACACTAGCAATAGCATCACCAGAACACCATCCACCAACAGCGAATAATACTTCACCACGTCTTGTTGGACGACGTGGTCGCGTTCTTGGCCCTTGCATGAGCGGACGTTCTTGTGGAAGAAGAAGATAATTTTTAGCCTCATCGACGAGATCACGACAGGCTTCATCACTGCGGACAAGGAGATCACTACCAACAGTTCCAACGAGAAATTTTGGACTTAAAAGTGGCATTCGAACATGTTGAAGAACTTGAGCTAAATGTTGTCGTCTCTCAGCCACATTATACTTAAGCCATGCCATAACAGCATTGAAAACTTGCTCTTCATTTCTCACATTTAGTTCATCACTGCATATAATATCGACAAGTTGTCCAACAGGAAGTAAAAGGAATTCTTCTGATTCCATGACTTCCTGGAAATTGTGTTGAGTGAATTTATCGGCTATGCGTAAAAGTTCGCGGCATCTGAAAACAAAAGAAAATCAAAACATGATCACGTGCAATTCATCTTAAAAAACTTACGAATGAGTATCAGCGAACGCGCGAATCCCTAAACAGTTTTGTGGGTCAAGTTGACGTTTAAGGAATTCACAACAAATATCTTGAATTTCGGCGAGTTGAAGCAGACAGGCAGCAGGAAGAAGTGATTGAACATTCGATTCTTCAACAACAATGTGTGATGTATAACAGAAGTCAATAAGAACTTCCATAGCGTTTTCGTCAATGTCTCTAATGGTGACTTCTGTTTGTCGAGATTCCTCAAGTTCGCCCGTGAACATAGCTCGAAAATAAGGAGAGCAAGCTGATAAAATGACTCGATGGGCGAAAATTTTTCTGCTTCCAACATTAAGAACGACATCACAGAGCTCTCGATGCCGTCTTAAGACATTCAACTCAGCAAGCGTGATCTTTGGATGCTTTTCGGAGATGTGAGGCATCCGAGCTGGTGAACAATTGCTGTCAAGCAGGATGTCCATCCCTTTGATGGCGTAATTGATGTAAGACTCAATTTTTGACCTGATTAATTATATTAAATAGAAACAAATTTTTAATAATGGATCACGAGCCATTTTTAATTATTCTGTACTTTTAATGTCCAGTCACACACACAATTAAGACAGAATTAAGCTATTTAAAACTTTTATTCACTCTCTTCCACTCAGTCAATGCAGAAATTATTAATTTAAGGAATGAAAAGATGAAATTTAATAAAATAAATGACAGAAATAACATAAACAATGTTGATTTTCTAAAAACTTTTCAATTTGCATCAAGTGGGAAGAAATTTTTTATAAATCAACTTTTAGGATTATCCAAATGATTTCCAAAGTTTAATTTATAACATACCTTTAAGGAATTTAGCACTGCAGACCACAAATGATGTTTAATACAATAAAAGTTTAGTTTAGATCATCCTTTTTCTGTTTTTAATAAAGTTTCTTTATATTTCTTCCAATAAAAATACTTCAGTCAGGACACATTTTTTTAGACGAGTATTAGCCGAGACACATTTTTTCATTTTAGATCGGCTCTACAGAATTTTTAGTTTATTTTGTTTAATAATAAGTTCTTCTGCAACAATCATGTTTATTCTATTCATATCAGCAGTTGTTGGATTCGCAATTGGTAGAGTGATATCGTTGCTATTGTCTCAATTATTCCAACAACGAGTGCAATTGTTTCAAGACAGTGCTCGTACATTAATCGTTCTGGGTTCTGGAGGTAAATAATTTGTACCTACCTACTTAGCTGAAAACTTTATCAAAAAAATATTAAACTGAAAATTTACAGGACATACAACTGAAATGCTAGAGATTGTCAATAAACTCAATTTCAATAAATATACCCCACGATATTACGTTGTGGCAGAAAATGACCAAAACTCAGTTGACAAACTCCTTGCAATTGAAGAAAACAAAAAAGATTACAAAATTTATATGATCACTCGAAGTAGGAAAGTCCATCAAAGTTACGCATCATCAATCATCACAACATCATTGTCATTCTTAAATTGTATACCAATTCTCATGCATGCTCGACCTAATCTCATTCTATGTAATGGACCTGGAACTTGCGTTCCACTCTGTATCGTAGCATTTCTATTCAAAGTCTTCTACATCAATAACAAATGTAAAATTGCATTTATTGAAAGTTTTTGCAGAGTGAAATCATTGTCACTCTCAGGAAAGATTCTTCTTTATTTAACTGATATTTTTGTAGTTCAATGGCCAGATGTTAGTAAGATTTCGAGAAAAATTTTGTACTTTGGTCGATTGACATGATTTTTATTGATCAATAAATATTCTTAATTCTCATTTGCTAAACATTATCGAAATGTTCTTCATCTTCTGTTATAACAACGGAATAAACTTCTTCCTCGTTTTCCTCAATAGCCTCTTCAATCTCATAATGCTCATCATTCTCTACTTCATTTTCTTCTAAAATCATCAAATCAGAATGTGCTGATTTCATATGATCAGAAAGGGCAAAACTTCTTCCATATTGAGCTGAACAAATCTTGCAAGTATATTTTAATGTCGATTCAATATTACGATGAACCTCCATATGAGATTTGACAGCATAAAGAGATGAAAATGTACGCGAGCACACATCACATGGGAATGGTTTGGTATGCGTATTCTTATGACCTGACAATTGAACACTTGTCTTGAAAGCTTTTGGGCAGAAAGGACATTTAAAGTTCTTAGCTGTTCCGTGAGTATTCAGATGATGATTGTAGACACTCTGACTTTTAAACCTGCAAATTAAGAACATGGAGATAAACATTTCTTGTAACTTATATATTTTTTACCTTTTATTGCAACTTTCGAAACTACAAACATATGGTCGTTCCTCTGAATGGACGTTCTTTTTATGTAGTGACAAGCAGTAAGTTACACGAAAAGCTTTTCCACAAAGATCACAGCTGTACGGTTTCTCTCCTGTATGAATTCTGTTTGAATAAGATTTATAGAGTTTAATTATGAAATCATTTTAAACTTTGATCAACTCACCTCTCATGCTTTACTTTCTCATGTGGCCTTTTGAATTCTTTTTGGCAATACTGACAGGTGTATGAATTCTTATTTCCAGTTGTTCTTTTCTGTTGCTTTCTTTCAGATTTACTGCTTTGATTTGAACATTTTGCTTGATTCTCAGCATGAGCATTCATATGCATTTTTAATTCAGAACCGTTTACAAGTGATCGATTACACAATTTGCAATGAAACATTGTTGAAGGATCAATATCCTGTTCCTTTTGAGCCTTGTGCGCTCTTGCAACATTTTGATGTATTGGGTAATGAAGTAAAACGTTCTTTCTTCCTGAAAATATTGTTTTGCATATCTTACAACAGTAGCTTATTTGACCATTTTTGTTAATTGTATCATAAACATCTTCACTCTCAATAATTTCTTTCAACTTTTCTTCCAAATTTTTTATGTCCTCATCTTCATCTAGTGAACTGTGTTTCTTCACATGATCTAGGTATCTTCTTAGAGATTTATAAGGCTGAAGGCAAACTTTGCATTCATATTTGCCACTTGCGTTCTTGATTACGAAAGCCAATCCCTCAGTATCAGATAACTCTTTAGTAGAATTTTCTTCTAAATCGGGAGTGTCCTCATCCTTTGTGTTTTCATGAAATTCTTTGACATGTTCCTCAACATTAGAAAATATTATATTGCAAGCAGAACATTGGAATAAATCTTTTTTCTCATCATCCTCAACCATGGAAACTTCATAAATCTCATAAGGAATGTCTTCTCCTAGCTCATCTATATCAAGTTCATAAGGAATTGAAAATTTATTGAAACATTTTCAAATAGAGTCGTCAACAACAGAAATACTGAATATTTACCATCAGATGCCATCTCTGCTCAAAACTTCACTTCGTTGATAATCTTAAACTAAAGTTTACTTCACTTATTAATACCTTCGCACCCTTTCAGACAGAAAGTCACCTGACCAGCCAAATCGACCTTAAATCACAAGATTCTAAGAATCACTTTCGTATGAAAACCCTGAAGGCAGGGAATGAAAAATATTTTTTTAAGAGGGTACGAAGCTTTTTTCATTTTTTACTTGTAAAAAAGAAAGCGTGACATCCTTGAATTTTTTTTATTAAAAATTCTACATCAATTTCTAATCAGAGCCCACGGATAATCAACAAAAGTGTCAACAAGTTTCTACGCTGTGTAAGTACGCCGACCATTAAGACTTTTGATCAATTTTTATTGACGAAATTTTGACTTGAAATTTTCTGCGCAACAAAAACCTACAACTACAACCTCGAGATGAACTTCTCCAAAAAAATCACCTTCCCAACGAGTGATAACAGAAGTGATGATGAATGTAGCTACAATGACTCGAATGAAACATACGACACTGAAGATGATAGTGAGTATCAACCTAATGTAAAGAGATCAAAGCGAACGATTGCAAACGTTTCAAACAATGGAATTCAACGACGTCCTACTCGCGTTCCCAATATGAAGATACAAAACAGAAACGCTTTATTGGCTCGTGAAAATCGTAAACGTAAGAAGGAAATGATGGATAACTTAGAAAAAGATGTTAGCGATTTGCAAATGGAGAACAAAAAATTACTAAAAATGATGAAATTGAAGGAATCCCGAACCTTAAAACTGGAACAAGAAATTCGATATCTCAAATCTGTTATTGTGAACCGTACAGAAATTGTTTCAGTACTTAAAACACTTCCGAAATTTCCCGCAAAAACAAATGAAGTGAAGAGCACTGAAGAGGACAAAGCATTATTTAATAGTAACGGCTCGGAAACGGCATCCTGTGAAACCTTCGATGAAAACGGTAGCGTAAAAGCAATGGATGATCCATTTCTCCCAACGATTTCTGATGATTTTCTCTTCACAGATATAGATGTTGCGACTGAATGGGATGAGATTTTGAAAAATCCATTCACATCCGCAACAGACTTTTCAGACATTCCCAAACTTGACGATTTAGGCATCATGTCACCAGCTTCATCTCTATTATCCGAAATATCAACTGAACACAACTATTTTGAAAAATCGGCAGTGGTGAATGATGAGAGTGGTGCTGGTGTCTGCGTTCATATTAACAGCGGAAGAGTTTCTTTGGAGTTTTGTTCAACTTGCCACTATAACGCTACAAATGCATGGATTAACAGCAACTAATCTACCAAAAATCATCGGAATTAAAATGTCGGTATCAATTCATGAACTTTAAGATAATATAGGTTTAAGTCCACTTTATATTTTTTTCCTCTAATTTTTCTTGCAAAAATTTTTTTAATTAGACTCAAAAATTTCTTTAATGTTAAACAAAAAAACTAACCTTAGGGAAAAGAATAATTTTTGCACTTGAGGGAATTTGCTAAACTTAAAAACTGTTAATGCTCAATCGCTAGTTAATTCTACAAATTCTTTTAGGATAATTCGGCTACCATGGGCTTGTGAGATCAGATGTCCAGCTGATCCCTTATGTTAGATATTTAAGCTGAGGTGGGAAGCGAGCTAATAGAATCATCGAGAACTCTATGCTTCAGGAATGCAATCATCGAGGACTTCACTCAATTTTTACAAATGTAGGTTTCAAACAAACAAAAACTTTCATTTATATGAAAATCGATAGCTCCTGAAGCAAAGAACTCTTGATGATGTATTGGACACTTTAATATTTAATGAATTTTGATTATGATTACAGCCACTTGAATGTCCGGTTATTCCAAGCTAGGTGATGAAGTTCAGTTCAGGAAGTATACAAAGTCGTATCGATCCAATAATTATCGTCTACATTAGCGATAACCTTTTTTGAATTCTTCATATCGCTCATGTAGATGGTATTTAAATATCCAATTTGTTGAGAATTTTTTCATGTTATTTCTTTTCTTATGAACATTTCAGCAATGATCTTCAAATGTTAAACAAATTATTAGAATTAACTAGCGATGAGTATTTATAGGTAAACAGTAAAGTGAAATAAAAATATAAATGGTTGAAAATGTTGTAAGTACTAAATATTTAAAATAAAAGAAATGAATAAAAAAACCCTAATTTAGTAAATAAAATGAACATAAGTGTTATTATTATTACCTATGTAGATAGAAACTTTTTCTTACTTTTTTTAACGTTATTTATTTGAATTCCCATAATGTTTTCCGAAGGGATCAAAATTTCCGGCTATACATCCTGAGGAGACAAAATCATTCAGAATATATTTTGAGAGCAAACGAAAAAAAATATTTCAATTTCTTCTGAAAATCAATTACAATATAAACTATACAGGATGAATTTCACATCTTTAATGCAACAAGCTCAGAAGCTTGTGAACGAAACACAAACTAATGATGAACTTCCACGTGTAGAGCGTTCCATGCCGCAAATTTTAAAAGCAACAAGCGAACTTCATTCTCGAGTCACATCTTCAAGTGCTCAAGATATACAAGCGTAAGACTGAATGCAAATCAAAATGTTCTTAAAGGTTAAAATTAATTTTCTTTTGCAGTTATGTTTTGTTGGGTTCAAAAGGCATAGATGTTCCAAAAATCAGTAAGAATCTTGAAACTTTAAGCGCGAGAAAAACATTTGAGACACTCGATCCTGTTTACGATACTGATATTCATAGTTTTTTAAAAAATGAAAAAGAAAATGCTATTCTCTCAATTATCCAAGATGTCAATAAGACTGTAAGTATTTAAACCTAGACTTATACAATAATAATATTATAAAAAGTTATTTTAAAATTATTTTCAGTCTTACGAAAATGCTCAAGCTCAAAAGTGGGATCACATTTTTAATGAATGGAAAGTGGAAAAGATCAAGCTAATGAATGCACTCATAGGACCATCTCAAAATTGGATTGATTTCCGTAAAGGACCTGAACAGACAATTCTCAATGAAACATCTCAAGGATCCATAAAATCTTTACTCGACTCAGTTCAAATGGCTTATGGTCGAGAAGTGTCGGAATATAATCGTTACGATAAAGCAATGAGACCATCACTTGTCGAGAAATTCACCAATGTTGCTCAAATGTTCAATGACAAAAAGATTCTAGAAATGTGGGAAATAATCAAGTACATGTCAAACATCAGACCAATTCCTAAGAATCAAGATCCAGTCAAACATCGCTTTCAATCGGAATTCGTTGAACAAGCTAAGAAATATTTAGAGAAACAATACAGAATTTTCATGCAGACTGTAATATCAGAACATCTTCGTGAATCGCAACGTGGTGGTGATCCCAGTAACTACAAACTTGTCGAGTCATTTGTTGCTCTTCGATTCCGGAATCCAAATGATCTTATTGGATTGCAAGATCGTCGTGAAGAGAATGGGAAGACAATTTGGCCTTGGGCGATGGCATATTTCTGCATGCGATGTGGTGACAACAAATCAGCATTAAAATGCTTAAGCAATGCTGTTCCTGATCAGAAAGAAATTATTACAGCTCTTGAGGAAATGTTGAAGAATCCTGATGGGAAAATGAACTCGAAAGTTAAGTCACAAATTAAAATGCAGTATAAGCAACAGAAAATAAGAATGTCTGATCCTTACAAACGCGCTGTTTTCTCTATTTTGGGATCATGTAATGAACAACATCCAGAACTGACTCAAACATCAGATGATTATTTATGGATTCAATTATATTTGATTTCAAATGTTTCAAATGATTCAACTGACAAATTGACACTTCCATCGTTGCAAACTCTAATTCTTGAACAATATGGAGAGAAGCATTACAATGCAAACGAGCAACCTCATTTATACTTTCAAGTTCTCGTACTTACAGGACAATTTGAGGCGGCTATAGAATTTTTAACACGCTTTGAACGGGTTCGGACTCATGCTGTTCATTTTGCTTTAGCTTTTAATGAACTGCATTTGATAAGTGGACCTAGAAATATTCAAGAACCGCTCTTGTCGGTCGATATTGAAGATCCAAAGCCAGTTCGCCGCTTGAACCTCGCTCGACTTGTAATGTTGTATGTTACAAAGTTTGAAACAAGTGATCCAGCTGAAGCACTTCAGTATTACTACTTTCTTCGTCATCTTACTGATTCTGACGGCAAAAACTTGTTCTTGTCTTGTGTCACTGACTTGGTCATTGAAAATCTGAACTACGAGTTGATTTTTGGAAAAATGCAACTTAATGGAATTCGTTCTCGTGGTTTGATTGATCAATTTGATGGAATATTCAATATTCAATCAGCCTGCAACTCAATTGCTGATGAATTTGTTAAAAAAGGATTGTTTGAAGACGCTATTCGAATGTATGATTTAGCTGGGGTAAATATCTAAAAGGTTTCCATTGATTAAGTAATTAAAATGATTTCTCTCTCTCTCTCTTAGAATCAAGAACAAGCGCTTCGTTATATCATCACCATGCTTTCGCAAGTTGTTCATCAACAAAATAAACAAGGATCAATAAAGGAACGTCTTCAAATATTGACAAATGAGATCAGTGAACGTTATCGATCAACAGAAATTACTTGTTCACCACAAGTTCTTAAGACTTTCAACATTTTTAAAAGTTTGTTGATGTTCTTTGAATGTTATCATGATCAGAAATATGAAGAAGCACTCGAAATTTTGGGAGAGACGAAGCTTGTTCCATTAAGCATGAATGACTTGGAACTTTGTGTTCAAAACTTTAAAAAGTAAGATTCAAGTTTTATTAAATTTATTTATTTATTTATTTAGTTATTTAGACTGCGTATACAGGAGATTTCCCAAGAGTGCTAATTAATTGATATAAATATTTTATTTTCAGAATTGGTGGAGAAGTTTGTAAAATTCTTCCAGATCNCTCAATTGCTGATGAATTTGTTAAAAAAGGATTGTTTGAAGACGCTATTCGAATGTATGATTTAGCTGGGGTAAATATCTAAAAGGTTTCCATTAATTAAATAATTAAAATGATTTCTCTCTCTCTCTTAGAATCAAGAACAAACACTTCGTTATATCATCACCATGCTTTCGCAAGTTGTTCATCAACAAAATAAACAAGGATCAATAA